CGGCCCGCCAGGGTGCTTACCCTGGCGGACCGTGGGCCGAATGTTGCCGACCCCTGATCTAGACCATCCCTGACAGGTGTCTGTCTAATCTGCCCTTAAAAATCTCCAATGATGGAGATTCCACAACCTCCCTAGGCAATTTATTTCAGTGCTTAACCACCCTGACAGCAAGTTTTTCCTAATGTCCAACCTAAATTGTCCTTGCTGCAATTTAAGCCCCTTGCTTTTTGTCCTATCCTCAGAGGTTAAGGAGAATATTTTTTCTCCTTCCTCCTTATAACAACCTTTTATGTACTGGAAAACTGTTATCATGTTTTCCCTCAGTCTTCTCTTTTCCCGACTAAACAAACTCCGTTCTTTCAATCTTCCCTCACAGGTCGTGTTTTCTAGACCTTTAATCATTTTTGTTACCTTCTCTGGACTTTCTCCAATTTGTCTACATCTTTCCTGAAATGTGGCGCACGGAGATAGACACAATACTCCAGTTGAGGCCTAATTAGCACAGAGTAGAGCAGAAGAATTACTTCTTGTGTCTTGCTTACAGCACTCCTGTTAATACATCCCAGAATGATGTTTGCTTTTTTTGCAACAGTGTTACACTGACTCATATTTAGCTTTTGATCCACTATGACTCCCAGATTCCTTTCTGCTGTTCTCCTTTCTAGGCAGTCATATCCCATTTTGTATGTGTGCAACTGATCGTTCCTTTCTAAGTGGAGTACTTTGCATTTGTCCGTGTTGAATTTCATCCTGTTTTTTTCAGACCATTTCTCCAGTTTGTCCAGATCAATTTGAATTTTAATTCTGTCCTCCACTGAAGAAGACGTTTTCTCCATTGGACTCGAGTGGGACCCTAAGAATAGTATTTCAAGGGCCTGAGGGGATTAATTTTCTTGCCCCAAACTCCTCCCATCAGATTAAGCCAAACCCCACAGACCCCCAGTTGGGCCCCAATGTCAATGAATTTCTTGGTGAAGGGGCATGACTCATTTTGTTTGTATGTCCCTTGTGACAGTCCTGCATATCTAGCTGGAAATGCTAGTTTGGGCACATTCTAATGTTTTTCTGTGAGCTCTCTCTAAATATATTAGATCAAACCTGTGAGCGGTACCCCACATGCTGAATTACTCAGATTTCTAAAGCCCCATACTGTGTGTTGTAGTTAATATTGGGCATAGGAAATGCAGTTGTTCTGCTCAGGAAACGTTTCCTATCTGTCGAATGACATGTTTCTGCAGCACATCGGAGACTTGCTGAGTCTTTTACGGAAGGGAGTATGACACTGGATATGAGGACCCATGAGGCTCACTGGTTTAGAAAAATAGGTGAGTAGCACTGCCAGCGTGTAAACAGAGGGAAGAAAGGGCAAAGGGTTGGGAATAAAAATCTGTGTGTGAAGAACTAACACTTGGTGATCTCTGAATCTTCCTGCAGCAAAGTTTTGACTCACAGAATAAATTTCTTATGGAAACTTAGGGCTTGTCTACATTTACTGGGGGATCGACAAACGACAATCAATCTGTTGGCGGTCGATTTAGCGGGTCTATTGAAGACCCACTAAATTGACCGCAGATCACTCTCCCATACAGTCCTGTACTCCACCTGAACAAGAAGCGCCAGGGGAGTTGATGGGAGAGCGTCTCCCATTGACATCACGTAGTGTGGACCCTACAGTAAGTAGAGCTAAGTACATCGACTTCAGCTACGTTATTCACGCAGCTGAAGTTGCGTAGCTTAGATCGATCTCCCCCCATAGTGTAGACAAGGTCTAAGTTCTGATTTAGGGAAGACATGACCCAGGGAAGAGGGTAACATGCAGGTCAGAACCTGTAAATCAACACTTGATTGGGCCAATTAGATGCTCAGATTCTTCAGTGATGGGAATGACACAACTATCGAGAGGGCTAGATCCCTGATAAATCTTTATGGGAGTGGTATGCCTAATTCTCTTCTGAATGTACTTGTCAGGATAGAAACTATATGCAGAGCAGTCTGAAACGATTGCCTTTTATGGGTCTGGGGATGGTATTGGATACTTTCAGCTAGATTCTGTGTAAATCTGGAGTAAATCCATTAAAGTTAAAGGAATTATTCTGGTTTCATACTAGAGTAATTTAGATCAGAATCTGGCTTTTCTTCATTCAACTTGGTGTGAATGGATTTAATGGCAGAAAGATTAGTTATTGAGATAACGGATTTGAAATCATGAATAATCTATATTAATAGCAGCTACTGACAGTATTTCCTGCTGTTGTTAAATGAGCCCTGTGATGGTTTCGGTCACAGAGACCCCCTTGGGACTGTCACCTGATGTGCTGAAGTTACTTCTGAGCTCGTTTTCCCTGCCAGCTTGGGACTCCAGAATCCTGCCTTGTTGAGCCAGGCACGCTAGCCTGCTGCAACACAGACCCACGACTGGTCCACGCCCCCAAAGCTGCAGACTTTAACCAAAAACTGCTCAGCTGGTCACCTGTCTCCAGCACCCAGACACCCAGTTTCCAATGGGATCCAAACCCCAAATAAATCTGTGTTACTCTGTATAAAGCTTATGCAGGGTAAACTCATAAATTGTCCACCCTCTATAACACTGATAGAGAGATACACAGCTGTTTGCTCCCCCAGGTATTAATCACTTACTTTGGGTTCACTAATAAACAAAAGTGATTTTATTAAGTATAAAAAGTAGAATTTGAGTGGTTTCAATTAATAACAGACAGAACAAAGTAAGTCACCAAGCAAAATAAAGCAAAAACACGCAAGTCTAAGCCTAATACATGAAGAATCTGTTTACAGGTAAAATCTCACCCTTAGAGATGTTCCAATAAGCTTCTTTCACAGCCCAGACTCCTTCCTAATCTGGGCCCAATCTTTTCCACTTGATCAGTCCTTGTTAGTTCCAGCTCAGGTGGTAACTAGGGGATTTCTCATGACTGGCAGCCCCGTTTGTTCTGTTCCACACCCTTTTATAGCTTTGGCCTAAGGTGGGAATCTTTTGTCTCTCTGGGTACCCACCCTTCCTTCTAAATGGAAAAACACCAGGTTTAAAATGGATTCCAGTATCATGTGACATGGTTACATGTCACTGTAAGACCTCATTCTTCATTATGTACACAGGAAGGCTTGCAGGTAAATAAACCCATTCACAACCAATTGTCATAGTCAATGGGAGCCATCAAGATCCTAAGCCACCATTAATGGCCCACACTTTGCATAATTACAATATGACCTCAGAGTAATACTTAATATTTCTAGTTTCAGATACAAGAATGATACATTCATACAAATAGGATGAATATATTCAGTAGGTTATAACCTTTGTAATGATAATGTTTCCTTACAAGAGACCTTTTGCATAAAGAATACTCCAGTTACATCATATTCACATTCATAAAGCATATGGAATGCAACGTCACAAGCCCCATGTTTAAAATTTAATACTGGGCCTGAAAGGCCTGTCACTGGAGATTTTATGGGCACAGACTATACAGGCTGAAGGTTTTTATTCTAGTCTCCTGTCTTATTGATTTTATGAGCCTGGAACTTGGCTGTACAGTTCGAGAACTGCCCAGGAACAATGAGGGATTTCTTTATACTGTCGTTCAAGGTATGTGCTCTGCTTAGTATTGTCTGTGATGTGATAGATGATGTCGTGCAGCTGGTTTTGTTACAAGCTCCAAAAAAAGTTGTTAAACCTCTGATGTTGTAAATAATCCTCTGGTTTAATTAATATGTATTATCCAGTGTACTGCACCTGATTAATTACTAAGAACCTAATTGTTAAGGTTCAACCATCATCCATTCAGTAGCATATTCATATACTTATCAATTATGTACTCATTATACCTCAGTAAATACACTTTTAATAATCAGTTTTTCAAGTAGTGTCCCTATGGGTGCTCCACTTCAGGTATACTCCCACCCCTTGCACCTTTAATCGGAGGTTTTTGGTGGTGATGCCTGTTCGGCCATGCACACACCCTATGCTTTATTGTGCCCCATTCTGAGGCTATCTAGGGTTGCATGGGTGAACCACCCTCAGTTTCTTCTCGACCGTCTCTGCCTGAGATGGAGCACTAGTGTGCCTGACTTTCGAAGTCTCTTAGCCTAGTTACCCTTTTTTAGCTTATTGTTTTTTTCTTTAGTTATTTCATTTACTTTTTATTTAGGAGTTTAGGGGAACTTTCTCTTGATCCCTTTCCCCTTTTGGGAGGGAGACGTTCCCCTGTTACATACTGTTGTCCTGGGATATGCTAGACTCTCCAGGCATCAAGTGGGGCATTTCTTGCCAAGAGGCCATCGTTGTCAGCGACGGGCATTCCTGTTGTATCTGCTGTGTGGGAGAGTCTCAGATCCTCCAAAAGTAATCCATCTGCACTGCTTTTTAGGGCAGGGCAAGAAAAAAATCAGGAGCTAAAAGTGAGACTCCTAATGATGGAGCATTCCCTCCAACCAGCCTCAGATCCAGGCTTGGAGCGCCCTCTAGACATTAGTTGCTGAATTAAGATAGTGCCATGTTCATCTGGGTGTACGCAAGATAAATCCATGGAGAAGACCCATAGAAAATAGTCATTCTCCACAGAAAAAGTCAAACTCAAAAAAGACCTTGGTCCCCCCACAGAGCAAGGCTGCTGCAGAGACCTCATGCCCCACCCTGGATGTGGCTGTGGCTCCAGATTCTGTAGGTATGGATCCTGTGCCTGGGGTTCCAGGCTCACCAGAGAAAAAGGGCAGCAAGCATGCCTTGGTAACTAAAACCTTTGGTGCCACACAAGCAGGACACTGCCTTATCAAATCATTCCACCTCTAAGATAACGGTACCCACTATTCCTTCAGTGCTATCTACATCTAAGTTGACCACTGAGATACCGCGAAGACACCATGCCTCTCATATGGTCTTGGCACCCCCCAAGGCATTCTCATTGTACTGTCCACTTTGACTGGAGTGGACTTGCCAGAGCAGCATATACCCTGGGTACCGACAACAGAACAGGTCCTCGCACTCCAAAACCCACCCAGTACCTCAGGAGTTTGGATTCTTGCAGAATCTATTTGTTTTGGAGGAGCTGGCGTTTCCCTTGTTAGTTGGTACTGAGTACTAAGAGATTATTGGTACCGAGACAAGCACCTCACCAATGTGGGACATTTCTCCGGTACCACTTGATTCTCATTTTCAGAGTATGCTGGAACTCTCCTTCTTGAAGAGGAGGAATATTCCTCCAATTCAAATATTTTGATCCAGGATTCCTCTGACACTTCAGACAAGGGATTTCTATCCTGACACTTTTGAGAAGATGGGGGAGTTGCACCAAAGACAGGCCCATGTTCCCCCGACCTGGTTCAAGCACCGGTTGATGCCATCACCAATGCCTTTCGGACCTCTCCAGTGGCCATATTGGGATACTTGGGCAAAATATCCTCAGCAATTATCCTATGCTCCTGGTCTCTCTCATGGGGAATACAGAGTGACATGCTCCCCTACTCCAGCTTTGCCTTCTTCATTACCTCAGGCACAAGAATCTTTTAGCAGAAGGCTAGAATCGAGAAAGAGGTTACTCCCCAAACAAATATTTCTTCATCTTCCCCTGGTGAAGTGGCTATGCTTCCCCCACTGACTGTGACTGATGACATCACACATTTCCAATAGTTAATGAAGCGTATTGCGGATTCCCTCCATATTCCCTTGGAAGAGGTCATGGAGTCACAACGTAAGTTCCTGGACATCCTCCAGTGGACTGCTGCTACCCAAGTTGCCCTGCCCATTAATGAGGCTCTAATGGATCCATCTGGTGGACCCCTGCAACAATTCTGCTGATGTGTAAATGGGACAATAAGAAATATTATGTCCCAGCTAAAGACTCTGAATTTCTGTTCATCCATCCAACACTGAACTCCCTGGTTGTGCAGCAATGAACAAATGTGCCAGACAACATCATGCAAAGGTCACACCATATGATAAGGATCAAAAATGCCTCGATCTATTTGGCAGAAAGACATACTCATCCAGGATTCTTCAATTTAGGATCGTGAACTATTAAGTTTTTATGGCTAAATACAATCACTCAAATTATGCCAAATTCATCACCAGAGAAAGGAATCACTTGCTCCCTGTATGCCTGCTACTGAACCATCATCATCACTTAAGCACCACTTTTGATGGCCTGGTCAAGGGCCTGAAACTATCCCACAACACTGAGATGCATATACACCATTTTACCCATCTTTCACCTTTTGGAAACTATCTCTCCACTTTCTTTCTGCATAGGAGAGAATCACATTAGATAAATGTTATGCATCCGAAGAAGTGGGCTGTAGCCCACGAAAGCTTATGCTCTAATAAATTTGTTAGTCTCTAAGGTGCCACAAGTACTCCTGTTCTTTTTGCGGATACAGACTAACACGGCTGCTACTCTGAAACCTATTAGATAAATGGGTGCTGGAGGTTATAAGATTAGGTACACTATCCATTTTACCTCCTTCCCCTATACTCAGTCCCCTTCCCTGTCCCTCTTCCGGGTGTCCTCTCATGAACACCTGTTAAAGCAAGAAGTCTACTCACTTCTACAAATGGGTGCTGTAGAACCAGTTCCTGTTCAGCACAGAGGGAAGGGGTTTTATTTTAACCACTTTCTAACCACTTCCTGAAAAAGAACTGAGGACAGAGGCTGATTTTAGATCTAAAATCAGCCTACACTGGCCCTTTACAGTGCTGCAACTTTCTCGCTCGGGGTGTGAAAAATCACCCCCTTGAGCACAGCAAGTTTCAGCGCTGTAAAGCACCAGTATAGACAGTGCACTAGTGGTGGTAGCTATGCCCCTTGTAGAGGTGGGTTTTTTTATTTTGTTAGAGCACTGGGAGAGCTCTCTCCCAGCGCTCTGCTGCGACTACACAAACCACGTTAAAGTGCTTCTGTGGCAACGCTTTAGCGTTGTTAGTGTAGACTAGCCCTAAGAGTCCTAAACAACTTTGTCAGGTCTCAAAAATTCAGGATGTTATCTGTCACAGCTATAATTCTGTCATTAGAACCAGGAAAATGGTTTATGACCCTCAATCTATAGGATGCCTATTTTCATATTGCAATTCACCTGTCTCACAAATGATTCCTGTACTTTTCAGTAGGCCAGGATCACTTTTAGTATTGAATGCTCCCATTCGGCCTTTTGTCTGCCCCAAAAACATTCTCAGTGGTGCTGGAGGTGGTCACAGTTTACCTCTGACATCGGTTTTCTGCCTGTAATCAGGAACAAGTCTATAAAGATTCTGACAGACAACATAGTTGGCATGTTCTATATCAACAGATATGGAGGAGCCAGGTCCCCTTCCCTTTGTGTCAAAGTGGTAAAGTTCTGCAATTGATGTATGGCCATTTCCATCCTTGTTTTGGCAGTTTACCTTCTGGGGATACAGAACAGCTTAGCAGATGACCTTGGATTTCTCCCAGGACTACAAATGTGTGTTGAATCCTCAAATTCTCAGGCAAATTTTTCAGACTTGGGTTTCCCCCCCCCAGAAATAGACCTCTTTGTCATGGTGACCAATAAGAAATGCGAACATTTTTCTCAAGGGGGAACTTGGGTACTCTCTCTTTGGGAGATGCCTTTCTCCTTCCATGGACAAGAAACCTTCTATATGCTTGTCCTCCAACACCATTTATTCTGAAAGTGATCAGCAAGATCAAACACAACAAAGCCAAAATTATATTAATAGTCCCAACGTGGCCAAGACCGAGATGGTGTCCTTACCTGATTCACCTAGGTGATTGTCAGGTGATCAGCCTCCCACCCATTCCTCATCTTTCCAAGGGCATCGGCTGTACTTTTCATCCCCACCCAAAGATACTTCACCTCAAAGCTTGACTCCTTGATGGTTCCTGGGACTAGAATCAACTTGCTCCAAGGAGGTAAACAGGTATAATTGAACCGTGGGAAAGAGTCCACAAAGTACACTTATCTCCCCAAGTGGAAAAGATTCAGCCTGTAGTGTGTCCAGTTTTCTCTCTCAATCAGTCCTTGATTACCTCCCACAGCTAAAAAGATGGAATTATCTATGAACTCTATCCGGGTCCACTTGACTATAACAGCTTTTCATTCAGTTGCTGAGGGATTCTCATTCTTTACCCATCCTACAAATGGAAGGTTTCTGAGAGGATTGGGGAACGTTTTTCGCCAAGATAAGGAACCCACACCTATCTGGGATTTGAATTTAGTACTTAAATGCCATATGAGGCCTCCCTTTGAGCCAATGGCTACATCTTTCCTCCTTAGTTTATCTCAGAAGATAGCATTTTTGGTTGTTTTCACCTCCGCTTGTAGGGTGGGAGAAATAGGGTTTCTATGTCAGATTCTCCTTGGAAATGCTGTGTTGTCTTGAGTCTTGACTTGGCTCTGAAGCTTCCCTCTCCAGTTGGGGGTACTGCTCAGTAATCACCTTGGTAAGCACCATAGGGGGCCTACTGAAAGAAGGAGAGGTTACTCAGCCTGTGCAGAAACTGGAGATGTGTCCCTTTATGGGTGCTCCGCTACCCATCTTCCTTCCTCTCTGCTTTGGAGAATCCTCTGGGGACGTGGTAGAGAAGGAACTGAGGGCAGTTCGCCCGCGCAGCCCTGTATAGCCTCAGAGAAGGGGATTAAGAAACACAGGACACATGCACAGGCCGAATAGTCACTACCACCAAAAATCTCTGATTAAAGGTGCCGGGGTGTGAGTATGCTTGAAGGGCTGCATCCATAGGGACACACATCTCAAAGAAATCCACTTACTGCACAAGGTGAATAACACCTCTTTATTCATAGTCCTGCAATTATCCAAATAAACTTACACTTTGTTATAAAATATACCAGAAATATGTTGTATTACAATTACCCGAAGTCTGGTCTATACACAACTCCTCTCTGTAGAACTGGATTCTGTACAGGACAGGTTCATCCCATCCAGCTACCTGAACACTTGTGACCTGAGGCTGAAATTAAAAGCAGGGTTCTAGGAATACTGTTTAATCTTCAAAACAGCACAACCATCTGTCAATCCTGATTTCAGAGCAAGTGCAACGTTATCTGTTCTACCAGTAAAGGTGGGCAAACAAGGGCTTCTTTAGCTGGGAAAAGCTGTCAATGAGAAGAACACAGACATGTAGTTTAAGCCCCAAATCTATGAGGGGAAGGATATTTCCAGTTATCTTTGACGTCACTGAATAATTTAAATAACAAAGAGCTGCTATTTGATGGAGGTTTGAAATTGTGTGAACTCACGCAGTTACTGTAATGTCCAACCCCTGCTGGGATGAATGGACATGCAGTATCTCTCTACTTACCGCCCAAAATGTTGTGATAAATGTGTCCTTCTCCAGCACCTCCTAGGGGAGGCACAGCATGTGTGTGACAGTCAGAGTACCATCCAAGATTAATTTTCGTTGCATCTTCAAAAGACTCTTATTTTCAGACAATTGTTGGGATGTCAGGCTGAGACAACTGACTTGTGGAGATTTTAAAATTCTCAGTGAATCACATACTTGAATTCTATTCAGGTTCTAATATGACCCTTGTCACAATAGTAACTGCAAAAAGAATGCATATGCATCCGAAGAAGTGGGCTGTAGTCCACGAAAGCTTATGCTCTAATAAATTTGTTAGTCTCTAAGGTGCCACAAGTACTCCTGTTCTTCTTTTTGCGGATACAGACTAACACGGCTGTTACTCTGAAACCTGACAGTAGTAACTGAGCATCTCCCAGAAGTGCTGTAAGCGATGTGACTAGCCCCTGTCATGTGTGGTTCATTCTTTCTGTATTCCTCTCCCTAGGGAGGAGAGTTTGAGTCTGGGGGTTATTTCTATTCTTCAAAGTAATTTAATATATTATATGTACACTGTGCTCTGTGTTTATATTGGCAAAGCAGGTAGAATTGTACCTTGCACCAGGAGTGAAAGGATAGTGAGGGTTATGATGGTCTTTAGAGCCTGTGGGTGTATGTTCCACAGTTCGATATTGGCCCCTGAGAAAGTTCTGTCTCTTTCACAGATGAGCCTTACCTGTGCAATTCCATTGTACTGTAGTTTTGGTCCTCAGCCCAGGCTTTAGGCTCTAAGGCATTGTGGGGACAAAGGGTTGAGTGCCTTAAAAAGTGACTGACTGACTAGTCATCAACGTAAGAGAGAGAGTTTGGGTTAATCTTATTTACACTGGTCTAAATCTGGCGTAATTTTATTTCAGAGTAGCAGCCATGTTAGTCTGTATCTGCAAAAAGAACAGGAGTACTTGTGGCACCTTAGAGACTAACAAAATTATTTGAGCATAAGCTTTCGTGGGCTACAGCCCACTTCTTTGGATGCATAGAATGGAACATATAGTAAGGAGATATGTATGTGTATATATATCTCCTCAATATATGTTCCATTCTATGCATCCGAAGAAGTGGGTTTTAGCCCACAAAAGCTTATGCTCAAATAAATTTATTAGTCTCTAAGGTGCCACAAGTACTCCTATTCTTTTTGCGGATACAGACTAACACGGCTGCTACTCTGAAACCTGTCATTTAAAATAAGTGTTGCCATTTTCAGAATGGGGAGGCATATTTGAAGGTTGTACTATGTCCCTGTTAACAAGAAATGTCTGTTAATTTCAGTTCTATACAGAACATGGGGAAAAAATGTTTGCCCACAAGAAAAGGAGAAAGTGATTTTTGAGAGCTAGCAATATAGGAAAAATATAAAAGAATGATTGAGAGTATCCCTTTAATGTATGTGATGTTGTTGTAGCGGTGTTGGTTCCAGGATATTAGAGAGACAAGGTAGGTGCGGTAATAGCTTTAATTGGACCAACTTCTGTTGGTGAGAGAGACAAGCTTTTGAACTTATGTGAACCTGAAGAAAAGCTCTGTGTAAACTTGAAATCTTGTCTCTCTGACCAGCAGAGGTTGGTCCAATATAAGATATACCCGCCTCGTGTCCCTTTAAGTAAAACTTGTCCCCAAATTGTGCTGTCATTATTGTTGTTGCTGCTGTATAAACCAAGGACAAAACAGAAAGGCCCAGAAGGGTCAGCTTCAACGGAAGTGACGTAATCAGTGCTCTCCAGGTGGAAAAAGATGAGTGGGAAGGAAGGAAATGGTACTTGAGCCTCTGGAAAAATGTCACAAACAGTGGGAGATAAAGGAAAAATGGAAATAAGTAAACTGCTTCCTTTTTATCCTTGCAGTAGAAAATGTTTTTCTTTGTTAATCGCTAGCCGTGGCCTAGCAGTATCCTCGCTGTCTATTCATGTTTCTGTTTTAGTTGTCCCAGTTTTGTCCTTCTGATAAAGCTGTTCTGATTGCCCAGAAGACATGCTTGCTGTTGGCTGCAGCAGTTGATCTGGAAATGGGACGATGCAGTTTAACATTCACTGACCAGGTAGAGTGCTGTTGTGTGAACAGGTATAGTGCTGGCCCTTTACATATCGGGCAGGTGTACATCTGGCTTTTAATGTACCCTAAACATAGCTTCTTTTGGTGTTTTTATAATTCTCAGTTATTTCCCGTAGGATGGGAGCTTGAAAATACAAGCCTTTCACAATATAGAGTAAATGTGCATGTTGCTTTACAAACAATATAAGATATTGGACCAAATTCTCAGCTGCTGTAAATTGATTTTGTTGACTTCAATGGAGCTAAATGGATTTACACTATGAGAGGATCTGGGCCAGTGTCCCTGCCCCCAGGAGTTTACATTACCATCTACATTAAGATAACATGTAAGAAGGGGTGATAACAAACCAGGGTGGAAGAGGCAGATTAAGACTATAGCAGTAGGATTATGCAGTTGCTGAGGTGGTGATGTGAATATCATGAAGGTCACAGTTTTTATTTTCTGATACATACACACACCCTGGAGGAGAATATTCAAGTTAATAGATTGTGGAAGATGAACAGAAGTCTGAGTGGTGGTCAGTGCAAAGGTTTGCAGAGCGAGGTTCAGTGCTGGGGCCTCTGTCTTTTCTGCAGAGAACATTGAACAAAAATAAGTTTCTTTTTAAAAACACTCTGGGAGTGATTCTTTCTTGTAAGTACTGGCCCTAATTGTGACACTATGATCTTGCCTTTGCACCTCTTTGACAAGGATTGAGAGCCCAGCCATGCAGAACAGACCAGTGCTGCTAGTTGCTCTCATTTGGTTTGCAACCTATGCATGGCCCTTCTTACAACTCTGTATGGCAGGAGTTCTCAGACTTTTGTATGGGTGACTCCTTTCACACAGCAAGCCTCTGAGTGCGACCCCCCCCCCTTATACATTAAAAACATTTTTTTATATATTTAACACCATTATAAATGCTGGAGGCAAAGCGGGCTTTGGGGTGGAGGCTGGCAGCTCCCGACCCCCCAGGCAATAACCTCACGACCCCCTGAGGGGTCCTGACCCCCCGTCTGAGAACCCCTGATGTATGGTGTCAGGTGATAATACCATTCTGGATTCCAGGATTTGATTTCTGGTACAAATATAGGTGATAATGCCCTCTGTTACTCTGCCAAGGGGCCGGAGGTTCAATTTCTCATTCCACTCAGATTATAGTGCCCTGTGTTACTGCTGTGCTGGGTACTTGGGTTTAGTTCTGATACTAGTCTCTTACTCACCAGACAGGCTGCAAGCATTGCACTGCATAGACAGGAATGTTCAACTGTTTTGAGAATGTCTTGCACTCAGTAGCAATGTTTTCTGGCTGATGGTTCATATAAGCCATGTCCCTAAGAGTCGTCTTAGTGCTATGTGCCTGGACCAATGGAGCCTCAAGTGTGAAGGATCCTTGATGCTTTGAATGGGGTGTAGAGGTCTCTCCTAAAGAAGAAGAAAAAGAAAACTGGGTGCAGATGATGCATTAAAGTTAGCCTGGCTTTTCACTTATTATGTAGCCAGGTTCTCTGGAGGCGTCTCTACTGTAGTTTGCTGTGAGATTTATATTCATATTTCTTGTTTAAAACATAGTTTAAAAATAATGTATTAATTTTACAAAATAGATTGAGCTTCTGTCTCAGGCCCTTCATCATATCCAGGCATGCAGGGAAATCTGGAATGTTCTGAAGCTAACAGGTAAGTTAGAAATTCTGTAATCAAATGCTGTTGATTATGTAGTATAGCAGTACTTAGAACAAATATTTCTAAGAGTCTTATCACTTTGATAATGGAAAATTTGTGTATCAAGGAACTGCTCTTTCCAATTCAAAAGTGTTGAAACATCTGAATGACAAAATGATTTGATGTAAGAACTAGAGAGGCCAGAAGCACAATGATTTTTGTGTATCCTTGTTGGCTTTCTCATTGTCTAGATGCTATCTGATTCAGCAGGTTTGGAACTCAAAGATTTCAGATTAATTTTATGGGCTGGCCAATGACTAGAGCACCCTGTACAAAAATTCCCAGGTTCTCTGAGACCCTGCCCCAGCTCCCTCCATCCCCCCTCCCTCTGTCACTCACCATCCCCACCCTCACTCACTTGCTCATTTTCACCGAGCTGGCTCATGGGAGTTGGCGTGCAGGAGCGGGTGCGGGCTCTGGCTGGGGATGCAGGCTCTGGGGTGGGGCCAGAAATGAGTTGAGGCTACAGTAGGGGGCTCTGGGCTGATGCAGTGGGTTGGGATGCGGGAGGGGGTGAGGGCTCTGGCTGGGGATATAGGCTCTTGGGTATGGCCAGGGATAAGGGATTTGGGGTGCAGGAGGGGGCTCTGGGCTGAAGCTGAGGGGTTTGGAGTGTGGGAGGGGCTCTGGGCTGGGGCAGGTGGTTGGGGTGCGGGAAGGGGATGAGGGGTCTGGCTGGGGGTGCAGGCTGTGGGGTGGAGCCAGGGATGAGGGATTTGGGGTGCAGGAGGGTGCTCGAGGCTGTGGGGTGGAGCCGAGGGGTTCAGAGTATGGAAGGAGACTCTGGGTTGAGGCAGGGAGTTGGGATGTGGGAGGGGATATGGGCACTGGGCTGGGGTGCAGGTTCCGGGGTGGGGCCAGAAATGAGGGGTTCAGGGTGCGGAAGGGGGCTTCAGGCTGGGGCAGGGGGTTGAGGTGCAGGGGGAGTGAGTGCTCCAGCTGGGGGTGCAGGTACTGGGGTGGGGCTGGGACTGAGGGGTTTGGAGGGCAGGAGGGGGATCAGGGCTGGGGCGAAGGATTGGGGCGTGGGAGGGGCTCAGGGGTGCAGGCTCCACGTGGCACTTACCTCAAGCAGCTCCCGGAAACAGTGGCATGTCCCTTTCTGGCTCCTAGGCGGAGGCGCGGCCAGGTGGCTCTGCGCGGTGCCCCGTCCGCAGGTGCCACCCCCGCAGCTCCCACTGGCCGCGGTTCCTGGCCAATGGGAGCTGCAGAACTGGCCCTTGGGGAGGGGACAGCATGCGGAGCCCCCTGGCTGCCCCGACGCGTAGGAGCTGGAGGGGTGACATGCTGCTTCTGGGAGCTGCGCGGAACCGTGGCAGGCAGGGAGCCTGCCTTAGCCCCGCTGCGCCACCGACCGGACTTTTAACGGCCCAGTCAGTAGTGCTGACCAGAGCTGCCAGGATCCCTTTTTGATTGAAAACCAGACACCTGGCAACCCTAGTCTGTAAGTGTCATCCAGAAACAGCACAAGTTTGGAAATACAGCTGTACCCTGCATAGCTATAACTCATAATACAAAGGTGATACAAACATATAAATGAGATGATCATACTTGGCAAATTATAACATTTTCGCAGATACCTTACACGGCATATCTGATCAGATTCATTGCAATTTTATAATAGTGGTATCAATAACATCACAGCATTCCGCATATTCCATACAGCGTCACATATTCAAATGTCAATCTGATTGTTTTTTTCAGTTTCCCTTACAAGATTGTAGTATCATGGCAACGAGGTCTCCTGAAGGAAGATACTGCTAGCACTCCTCTTAGCTTCGGTCGTTATTATGCAGAGGCCTCCTCTGTGTGATTGTTACTCTTTTTATAATGTGTAGAACAATATTTTCAATTCTGTGAAGCTGCCATTATTTTGCTTAGTGCACCATCTCTATAAGGTGTAAACTATCTGAGAGAAAAAGACATTTTTTAATGAAAAGAGGCATTTCTGAGCCATCATACTGCTCAAAAGCAATGTCCTTTGTAGAAACAGCAGTATAGGAGCCTATTGCTCACTTTCCATTTGACTTCAATACCCATTTAATAAACGGAAGAAATTTATTGCTTAATTTTCAATCTTAGTGACAAATTCTGCTTTCAGTGGGAGTGGTGCACACATCTCTGAGCCCAGAATTTGACCCTAATGATTAATCTTAACTTGTTCTGATTGTTAAAACATGAAGAAAATAGGTTCACAATCCCAGCCTGTCAGAGTCTCATAATGAAGAGTCCCTTTACAGTTAGGAAGCTGTCCTCTGGCTCTGAATAGTCATCTACTTTTCTTTCCAAGAGAGTTCCCAGTTTCTGCAGAGCAAAAAGTGTTTGTCACGTTGGAATATTAAGAAAGTTGCTTGCTTTTGAGGTAGGCTTCTCTATATAGGTGTAATTTACTAAGGATTATTCACTCCAGATTAATGCTGGGAGAAAACTACAGGAGTTTAATCTGTGCCGTGTGTATTTATGCGCTTCAAACATAAGTAAACCTCATAGTTAGTTGTTCCTTACTGTTAAGTCTCAGTGCCTTGGTTTAAGGATTTTCCTGCTACTGAAGGCAAAGCTGCACCTTGCAGCTTCATTTCATAAACTGATGTAACAGATTGACTAATAACAGGCAATACTGTGTGTCCTCTGCAGGAGATTTCTCCAAAGACCCAACAGACACATTGCTGCTGCTTTATGAATTTGAAGCAAGAGCCAAACTCAATGATCCAGAACTGGAAACCCTGCTGGAATTGGTGTGGGAACTGCCACAAATAGAGACTAAGACGCTGGAAACCATTGCTTGTAAGGGCCCTATTTACATTTCCACAGTTCTTGAAGTCATGTAAAGAAACTTGGCCATGGCTGCATCTTATGATATTCTTTCGCTTTCATTTGGAGTGGGTGGGATTATGCTCTACAGCAGTGCTTCTCAAAGCTGGTCCGCCGCTTGTTCAGGGAAAGCCCCTGGTGGTCCAGGCCAGTTTGTTTACCTGCCGTGTCCGCAGGTTCGGCCGATTGCGGCTCCCACTAGCCGCGGTTCGCCGTCCCAAGCCAATGGGGGCGGCGGGAAGTGGCGTGGGCCGAGGGATGTGCTGGGCATCCTTCCCGCAGCCCCCATTGGCCTGGAGCGGCGAACCGCGGCCAGTGGGAGTCGCGATCGGCTGAACCTGCGGAAGTGGCAGGTAAACAAACCGGCCTGGACTGCCAGGGGCTTTCCCTGAACAAGCGGCGGACCGGCTTTGAGAAGCACTGCTCTACAGCAATGAAAATCTATGCAAAATCCAGGCATTCTTTGTCGCCTGGGGGAGGTATTTGTGATCATGGTAGTACCCAGAGATCTCCATATTTTGAAGTATCAACCTGTTGGTGATACATATGGGAGATGAGCCAGTGCCTTACAGACTCTCTCCATCTCAAAAATCCAAAACCTTTTCATAGAGTTTAGGGCCAGAAGGAACCAATATGGTTGTCTAGTCTGACCTCCTGCCTGACACAGGCCATGCAATGTCCCCTAGTGGTTCTTGTATCCAGTCCAATAACTTCTGATTGAGCTAGACCAGATCCTTCAGAAGACATCCGGTCTTGACTTAAAATCCAAAGATAATGGAGAAGCTTGTAACTGGCACTTGCTGTACTGCTCTGTGTCCTCCTCACAAAGCTCTAGCCATGCCTTCTGCAACTTGAGCATTTAGAATGGGCTTTCAGGAAGGTGAGGGAGAATTTTAGAACCAAAATGACAAATTGTTTACATTTCACTTATTTTGAAGCTATTAGTGTTGATCAGGGAACGACTCCTAGATTCTGCATTTCTCTTTGTTTTTTTTAAATCAGACATGGTATTGCCAGGAAATGTAAAACAAAACCAAATAGCCATTGTTAATGTAGGACACCTCTATTTTTTTGTTGCTGCAGGAGACGTAGCCAGTCAACAAAGAGAACTCTCATTAACTACAGAACCTATTTTTTTAAGCTCTGCAACTATCATTTATGATATTGTGACAAGAAAGAGGTAAAGGCATGCTGGCTTGTGCTCTGCACCTGCAGTCACTAGTACTGTGCAGCTCTGCAGGGCAAGAATAAAATTGCTGCTTATGAAATAACATGTCTGTTGTACAAATCTAGATTCATTCATTTATCACAAGGAACCAGAAACAGTGCAGTGACCAATGTGCGGGAAGTCTGATCTTGTTCACTTTCATTTTCCTTCTCCATATTCTTTTGTTTTTCAAGCATTAGCGATGGAGTCTCCTGCTCATTATCCCTCTGTGTGTAAGAGGGCCCTCAAGAGCGCTCTGACCCTTCATAGGAAACAGGAAGCCATTGATGCTGTGAGAGTCAGGTTAGTGTTCACACCAATTACTGCTAGAAGGACTGAGGCCGGGAATGTGCACAGGCAGTCAGGTGGTCGTGTATCCCATCAACTGGTCATTGTTTATCCTGGATATATGTCAAACTGTTCCAAGGAGGGACTGGCAGGGAAGGAAGACATATAAGGGAATCAGTTGTTGATTGCATGTTAGATCCCTTTCTCTGTGCTCTCTGATTTTTGCCTTGTGGGGCAGGAACCTGTCTGTATTATGGCTGTGAGGCACCCAGTAAAATCTTAGTTACTTGATAGAAAACGTAGTAATGAGCACAAGGGTTATGATGATAAACAGAAGGGGTCAAACTCTTGCTTATGTCAATAGCCACACTGATTTCAGTGGATCTGCTCACTTGAATAAGGCTGTGTTTTCACTGCAGAGTTAACTTGGGTGATCAGCATGTAGGTTAGCCTAGCCCAGCTGTGAACAGCCACACTGCAAAGCCCTGAGTTACCAGGTCCTCACAGGTGCCGCACTCCCCCATGTGTGTCACTATGACTATTTCTTTCAGTGATTGTCCCTATGGGTATTCCATGTGAAGATGTGTGTCTCCCATGTGCTCTTGATTGGAGAGTTTTGTCAGCAGCATCTGTGGGTCCGTACCTGCACCTTATGCACCCTTGAGCTCTGGCACGAGGAGCAGACACATCACCACTCCAGTTCCTTCTCAACTGCCTGCAGCTCGAGATAGAGCAATTGTGGTGTCTGAAGCATAGTTTCACAGCTTACTTCACTTTAACATTTTATTGTTTTATTTCTTTTCTGTAAGTTTGTTTGTTTTGGATATTTTTAGCACAGGTTTGTGCTTTTGAAGGGGGTTCCACTCCCCCTCCTTTCTTTGCATGCATGGCCTTTTTACCCTCAATCCCTGTTTGTTTGCTGCCTTTCCTTCTATGGGTAATGCCAAAAACCTCAGGATGCCAGGCCTGCCACAGGTTTTTCCCCATCCTCAAGTCCTGCTGTATGCTTATCCTCCAACACCATCAATCCTGAAGTTTCTGAACAAGTTGAAACAGGTGAGAGTAGTGACCATTCTGATAGCACAATCATGGCCGAGGCAGGTGTGGTTCTCAGATCTGCTTTGCCTCTCTCTGCGCTTTGCGTTCCTCTGACAGTAGACCTTCTGACCCAGGAATCAGTAACCATAACCCACCTCAGTTTTTCATTGCTGCACCTCAAGGCTTCCTTGATGGCTCTTGGGCATAGAACAGAATTGTTCTCTTGAGGTTCAGACAGTGCTGCTGAATAGCAGGAAACCCTCCACCCTACTCTGGGACCTTAATTTGGTTCTCATTGCCTTAAGAAGACCCCCATCCAAATCCTTGGGAAGCTGCTTATTTCTTCATTTGGTCTTCAAGGTCTCATTCCTCATAGCCATCACCTTAGCCAGAAAGATAGGAGAACTAGGGGCACTTATGACTGACCCCACCTGTACATGATATTCTACTGTGAGAAGGTGACTCTATGCCCCCATCCTTGTTTCCTGCCTAAGATCTCATCAGACTTCCGCCTCAATCAGGTCATTCAATGGCCAGTGTTTTACCCCATGCCTCATTGGTTGAGAGAGGAGGCTAGTCTTCATAATCTGGGTGTAAGAAGAGCTCTTGCCTTCTATCTCAATAGGCCGAAGCCCTCCAGAACTTATCCCCGACTCGATCTCTTTTTAGAATGAATGGACAGTCGATTTTCACCCAAAGACTATCTCAGGATCTCAGAATGGATCTTGGCATGCTGTGAAGCATCTGGAGGGGTTCCCTCACCGAGGATTACTTCCCATCCTACTAGTGCCCAATCCACCTCTGTAGCCCTACTTAAGAATATATCCATCACAGACATTTGTAGGGCTGCCACCTAGTCTTCTGTGCCCACATTTTCTCACTACACTATTGCACCTGCTTGCAGGGCAGATGAAGCCTTTGGTGATGCGGTTCTGTGATCTATACTGAATTTGCCTCCTCAGCACCCTCTTCCATATTGAGGTACTGTGCAAGAATCTCCACACGTTCAGCATCCATAGGGACAATAGCTTGAAGAAGGAAGAGAGGTTACTTACCTCTACAGTAACCAGAGTTCTTCAAAATGCTTTGTCCCTATAGGTTGTCCACTATCCTCCCTCCTCTCAACTTTGGAGTCTTTGCATCTGAACTTCCTGATTGGGAAGGAACTGGAATGGTGGTGGGTCTGCCTCTCCCTACATACTCTCGTATTGGAGCAGGAGGGTGCATAGGGCACAGGCACAGATACATGAACACTGCTGACAAAAATCTGATTGTTCGCACACCCATGTGCTATCGTTCTCACATGGAGTACCTGTAGGAACAAAACTTCTTGAACTCGGTTACTGTATAAGTAAGTAATCTCGCCTTCTGGGGTCATACCCCATGTTCTTGGTTTGGCAGTAAGATGAGCTGCCTTATGATTCCCAGTGAATTGCGGAAAAAATTGTCTGTTCTTCTGGGCACACAAGGGGAATTGTGGGAACACATTCGAGGACTGTCAGCATGCAGGGGGATTAGCCTGCAAGATGGGTCACCACCCTGAATGAAAGCAACATTTGGGTTTTATCTACAGCCCCAGAAGAGCCAGCTAGCCCAGCTTGAAAGCATCACTAAACTCGGATGAGAGGGTGTAGTATGTGGACAGAAGAGGAATTATGGGGGCCTGAATTAGAGCCTGAGTTAACTCTATAGTGAAGATCTATCCTTAGGGAGGGGAGAGCCAGAAGATGTCAGGCAGGCAGCTTCTGAATCAGCGAGTGACTGCTTAAAACATGATGCCCAAGAGATGAGCCCATGTTCATTGAATAAAAACCGCTCTCACTTAGGCCTTGTCTACACTACAGCGTTTTGTCAATGCAGGTTATGCCGACGATCAAAACCCAGTATAATCACATTTGCATATAATCACGTTTGCATGTTCGCACAATGCTCCTTCTGTGGCGGAGCGTGTCCACAGTTGGTGCTCTAGCATCGACAGTGAGAGCAGTGTACTGTGGGTAGCTATCCCACTGTGCTACTTGCCACCTGCTGCAGCTAGAAGTTGTGGGAAGATGGAGTGGATTGCAGTGTATCATGGATGTGGGCTCAACGTCCCATGATGCACTTTTTTTCCGTCCCAACATTCCATGGGCTTCCGACTGCATTTCACAGCATTTTCCAATTTCCCCTATTTACTGTGCGCCTGCTATCTCTGAAAGCATGGACCCTGCACTGCTCTCTACTGTTGTGGTCACTATTATGAACACATCACAGCTGATTATGCAGTATATCATGAGCATCCAATGTGACCAGGAATCCAAGGTGCCCGACCTTCTGTGTGCCATGGAAAGAAACAACACCAGATTACTTTTGGCATTCACGGAGCAGCTGCACACAGTGGACCATCGCTTTTGGGCTTGGAAAACAAGCACTGTGTGGTTGGATTGCATCGTTATGCAGATCTAAGGTGACGAGCAGTGGCTGCAGAACTTTCAAATATGCAAAGCCACCTTCCTGGAACTGTGTGCGGAGCTTGCCCTAGCACTGCAGCGCAAGGACACCAAAATGAGAGCTGCCCTATCGGTGGAGAAGATCATGACGATCACTGTGTGGAAGCTGGCAACTACAGACTTCTACCAGTTGGTCGTGAATCAGTTCGGAGTTGGGAAGTCCACCGTTGGGGCTGCGTTACTGCAAGTATGCAAGGCCAGTAATTGCATCCTGCTACAAAGGACTGTGACTGTTGGCAATGTGTGTGAAATAGTAGATGGATTTGCGGCAACGGGATTTCCTAACTGCGGCAGGGCGATAGATGGCATGCGGAGTCCAATTTTGGCCCCCGACCATCTTGCGACCGAGTACTTCTCTATGGTATTGAAGGAGCTTGTGGATCACTGGGTGTGTCACTGACATAAGTGCGGGGTGGTCCAGGAAGGTGCATGACGCATGCACCTTCAGGAACACTGGCCTGTACATAAAGCTGCAAGCAGGGACTTTCTTTCCAGATCAGAAGATTCCATTGGAGGATGTTGAAATGCCCATAGTGATCCTGAAAGACCCAGCATACCCTTTACTCCCATGGCTCATGATGTCTTACATGGGAAACTTGGACAGCAGCAAGGAGCACTTCAGCAATAGGCTGAGCAGGTGCAGAATGACCGTAGAATGTGCCTTTGGCAGATTAAAAGCACACTGGCGCTGCCTTTATGGCAGGTTAGACCTAAATGAAGAAAATATTCCCATGGTCATAGCAGCCTGCTGTGCGCTGAGTAATATTTGTGAGGCTAAGGGTGAAAAGTTTCTCCTGGGGTGGAGCACGGAGGCGAATCGCCTGGTGGTTGATTTTGAGCAGCCAGATACCAAGGCTATTAGAGGGGCACAATGGGGTGCTATTTGATTCAGGGAGGCTTTGAGGCACCATTTTGACAGTGAGCACCAGTCATGTGTCTTTCTATACAGCACTCTGTCGTGCTTTAATTTGCCGCCTTTCATGAAATTTTGATTTCTGACCATGATTTGTAATCCGCAAATGATCAAATTACAACTGTGTATTAATTCCAGCAGCAACCACCATGTGCAAGAGACAAATAAAGATTTGTTATCTTTCAGAGAGTATGTTTTTATTAAATACCAATTAACAACACACACAAAAGGGTTGGTGGAAAGGGAGATAACAGTGATGGGCAGTGTAGGCTCTTATTGCTGTGTGTAAGTCCAGCTATCATTTTGGAAGCTGTCCGAAGGGGTGGAGTGAATGGGATACCGAGTCGGGCTGGAAAGTTGCAAGGAATGTGTGGGAGGAGTTTGGGGATGGCATGGAAAGCAGTTCTGTATTGGCGGTGGGAGGCGGGGGGGACAAGCACGGATTAATTCTGCAGGCAGCATGATTAGGGACTTTTAACATCTCTGTTTGCTCCTCCATCACTTTTATCATCTGATCCTGGCCCATTAAAATTCACTTCTGGATCTCCTTGCTGTCCTATCTGTTTTATAATTTTCTTTTAAACTCTCTTTCCACATCCTGCATTCTTGGTTTTTGGCCTTTGAGGATTGGAGCATCTCTCGAAACATGTCCTCCTTGCTCACTTCCTTATCTGGTAGACAATGAGGAGTATGGCACCTTAAAGACTAACAGTTTTATTTGGGCATAAGCTTTTGTGGGTAAAAAAACACTTCTTCAGCTGCAGCTGAAGAAGTGGTTTTTTACCCACGAAAGCTTATGCACAAATAAATTTGTTAGTCTTTAAGGTGCCATCGGACTCCTCGTTATTTTTGTGGATACAGACTAATATGGCTACCTCTCTGATACTTATCTGGTAGAGGCGCTCTGCTGGTATGTACGGGGTTCCTCTGAAGGCCACATCTGTAGAAGCACAATAAACAGAAGCGTGATTGTTTAGTGCATGTTAGCATCAAATCATTATAGTAAAATGCACCTCTTTTGAAATATGAATCAGTTTCTCGCTATCCTTGGAAAGCACACATCTCAGCAAATGCCCTAAACATGGTGAGTTCGGCCTAGGGGAGTGCTTAAGATGGGACAAAGGATCTAGGAGGCAACTAAGGACAATATTGTAAATTTTGCCACTATTTTCCATAGGCGGGGGTCTGAAGCCATATTTCACTCCTGAGGGTATGCAAGAGTGCATCTCCTGCTAGTATGCCGCTTCAGACTGAGTCTCTATGCTGCTCGTCTGTGTGCCGTGTTGGTCCCTGCACGAGTGATTGCCGATTGGCATGGGAGAGTTTCCTAAAACGGCAGGAGGAACAAAGCCGCTCTGCTAAGGAATCTTTGGCTGAGGATGGGCGAGTACATCCAGGAAAGTTTCCTAGAGATCTCTCTAGAGGATTCCCATGAAATCTCGGTGTGCATTAACACACTGTTCTGCTGCACTGCATAGCTGCACAGGGGGATGTGAATCACATGCAAACACAGCTAGTCTTGTACATTTCTATCCCTTCACCCACTTCTAGAACGTAACAAAGCAAAGGACAGCTCTACCTCATATAACCGAACAGCATCGACTCAAAAGGATCACTTACCAGAGCTCCCCTCTCCTGCTTCATGCGCATCAGAGATGGACTGCTGGGACTGGCTTGACCCCTCTGGAGTGGAAAAGAGGTCCTGCTGTGTGCTCCACATCATCCTCCAACTTGATCACTTTGTCCATGACTTCGTCCTCAGGTCCTCAGCCCCGCCAAAGTATCCATACGGTTTGTGGAGGTGGGATTGCTGCCTAGGAGCGGCAAGTCTTCAGGCAGCACCAGAGCAACAGTTCGACTCCCTTGCCTTCTGGTGTGCCTGCCTCAGCTCCTTTATCCTCACACGGCACTGATGCGTGTCCCATTCCTAGCCCTTATCCAACATGCCACAAGAAATCTGACCATAGATATCGAAGTTTCTACAGCTGGAGCATAGCTGGGACTTCACAGCCTCCTCCTCACAGAGTCAGCAGATCCAACAACACAGGTACTCCAAGCAGGAGAGTGTTTGCTGCCTGGAGACGCTGTAATCAGCTGGGAAGATGTGATGTGAGCTCTCCATGCTGAGCAAACACGAAGTGGAATTTCAGAAATTCCCAGGTGCAGGGCAGCAGAGTTCAAACTGCTGACTAGAGCAGTCAGGATGGGCATTGTGGGACACCTCCTGGAGGCCGTTTACAGTGACATAAACAAATGCAGTGTCTACACTGACACTGTTGATATTTTGTTGCCAAAAGCTCTACGCCTCTTGTTGAGGTGGTTTTATTTTTTCTGCAAAGCAGGAGAGTTTTGTCGGCAGAAGGAGCATTATAGTGTGTATACCTCCACTGTTCTGTTGCTGAAAGCTGACTTTTGTTGACAAAACTCTATAATATAGACAAGACCTTAATAGATACCCTTTTTCCAGAACATAATGTGAGCTTCTGGGCACAGGGACTCTGTTTCCTCTCTGATCTCTTCAAGGGTGAACTCATTAGTGCTGGTAATGGTAATGGAGTAGCTTTGTGTACTTGTGCTGCATACATACAGTATGTAAGGAGGAAATCTTCTGTTGGTTTTGTTTAACTAATATCTTTTAATATGCTGTTATACATCACTTAGCCACTAGTGTAGACAAAGGTCATCATGTTTAAAAATGTGGTAGCTGGTTGTAATTAACCCTAGGGCCTCCAAGAAGGAAACTGGCAAGGAGCTGGTTCCATCCAAACCTGTCTGTGCTTCCTTTGTGTTGCAGAAGAACAACAAGAGGGTTCATGCTAAGGCCCCTCTTGCTAGATCATGCAGTCCAGGACAAGCAGCTTTGAGCTAAGGGTGTCCCAGATAAAAGACTCTGGCTTAGGCGAGAACAGAGTGTGCTAAGTAAATTAGTGCAAAATAGGGAGCTGCTGCTTGGTGACAGGGCAGTAGTAGCTGAGGTTGCTGCAATTTTGGTTGCCTCTGCTCAAGATAAACAGGACTTGTGAACATTTAGTAAGTTAGTAAATTACACAGAAAATACCCTGACTCCATGTCACCAAATTCCCTTCAAGTGGGAAACTAACCTGCTGCAAGGCTCCAATATCTGCTACTACAAATGGGCAACACTAGTCACTTTAGGATTACCCATGACTAAGGCTGCAAGTTTGTCATGGTGGTCACAGAAGTCATGGATTCTGAGACTTTCCGGGAACTCCGTGACTTCTGCAGCGGCCTGTGTGGCTGGTCCGGGGGCCGCCTGAGCAGCTTGGGCAGCCCCTGGGCCAGCTGCACAGGCTGCTACTGGGGCAGTCTTGGGCCACTGCCCCACCCCCAGCAGCACCAGGTGTGGGAGGGGGCTCTGGTGTGGCGCTTTCCTTGGGGGAGGGGGCTCCCCAGAAGTGGCAACATGTCCCACCCTCAGTTCCTAGCTCTGCACACTGCCTCCGCCCGCGGGCACCATTCCCGTAGCTCCCATTGGCTGCGGTACCCAGCCACTGGGCGCTGTGGAGCCGGCGCTTGGGGTGGGGGGGCAGTACGGGGAGCTAGGTCCTGAGGGAGGGACAGATCCCGCTTCCGGGAAGCTGCAAGGAGCTGGGTAGGGAGCCTGCCAGCCCCGCCAACCCCCTCCCCTCCCAGCACCAGTGGGGGTCCTGGCTGCTCCCTCCCCCCCCCGCCGAAGAACCCGTGGCACCCCCTCCCAGGCACCCCCTCCCAAGCACCCCGGCACCCCCAGGCTGCCCCGCCCCATGCACTCACGATGCCCCGGGGCTGCCGCCCCCGCCC